ATATATATGCATTCCCTGATACTGCGGAACGCGTTCAGCTTTACATTTATATTTAAAAATTAAAAAACTGTATTCAATCGCGTTGTAATAAAATACGAGATATGTGAATCGGTGAATACGTGTTATTCAAACAATGCATATTTGCATTGTCTGCATGGAAAATTGAAAATGAATGTGGTTCACGGTTGTCACGAGATTTTCATCTCGACAGAATCCTGTGGAAAGGACGCTGGCTAGGCTACTGTACTCGGAGCCTGCGCTAGTTTATGTGTAGTGGTACGTACCGGGGAATTTCCAGCGTCGAGAGTCATCGCTACAGTAATTTTCATTATACCCTCTGTTATTACTACAGTTCCCGTCGTAAAGGTTGATATTACAATATCAGTTTGCGAGGACCATCGTTTCCCTGTTTTCGCTTCTATCGTCCCTGCTATGGAAGCCATTGTAATTAGACTTTTCCCTCAAGTCCAGCAAGATAATACTCAGTGAAACTGAAATGACGTTTCGCTAACGACTTTATTGTCGTTTCAGACAACATTCAAAAGGCGGGAGAACATTCTCTGAGCCGTTAACAATGCCCAAGTTCTGACTTATTTAAGAGCGAAAAATCATTACCAGCTCTATTTAGCATGCTAATTTTGAAAATGATCATAGATTTCAATATTCCCACGTAAGAAACTTCCAAGAACTCCCAACATTTCAAAGAAAATTAAGTTGTTTAGTCCAATAATAAAAATGTTACTTCACTTCGAGAAATGTTCAAGTATTAACAACTAATTAGTATTGAATCATTGTATATAATATTGAGAATAAGAATGTGCTCGTATCGAGAATTCAATGTTCAAAACGAGTCGAGAAATGCTTTCGGCTTTCGCACATTACTCATTTATTTCTAAAATCTGTTTAGGGGCTGATTCGTAACGAACAATTTTGTTTATTCCAGATAAATTCAGGATGGTCACTGGGACCGGAGCTGTGCGACATGTGGACCAGCAGCGATGTTCTCTGCTGCACTGCCTCGATATTGCATCTGGTGGCTATCGCGGTCGACAGATATTGGGCAGTCACCGATCTCAATTATATACAGGTTAATTAACACTGCCGCGGTCGACAAGTAGTTGAGATTCTGGGTACAAGGTACTCAAAGAGTGACGAAGTCACACAAACGCGTTGCTCAGGGGTTGCAAGTATCGAAAAGAAGATTAGGATCGGAAACGGTTTTCTAATGTTACATAAATATTTCTTCAAATAGTAGATGTACCTTCTGTAGAATATCTCATTCAAATAATTTATCAGTCATTTTCCTATACATCTATTAAATTCAAGCACAGCTGAAAATTCACACACACACACACAGAACAAAAATGAGAACCTTACAATTTTTCCAGAAACAGAGTACGATTTTTTAAATTTGGAACTTGACGAACGAAACGACATTTCATGTGCACTCATAATTTCCGTGTCAATTTTCCGAAGCCAAGCTCTGGTATTTTATTAAGAACGCCCGGATGTTTAAAATATCCGAGGCAGATACGGTTATGGGATTTCAGATTAAAGATTATGGTGATCTCGTCATAAAAAGAAATGAATTTCGTATGATCGTATTCTTCTAATGATAAAATGCTGTCGATATGCAGCTTTCTGACCTCGATCCGAATATTATTTTGAACAAGCCGATATAAAAATAACTTGGAGGATAGACGGAGGAGCTCCGAAAAATATGGAGGAGCTTGCTGGTATCTGAGTATGATAACCCGTGAAAGAATTTTTTTATTTCCAGGCGAGGAATCCGCGGCGGATCGGTATCTTGATCGTGACCGTCTGGGTGGTATCTTTAGGAATCTCACTGGCACCTCAACTTGGCTGGAAAGATCCTGATTATTTGGGCCGCATAGCAAATGGAACTTGTTTAGTGTCGCAGGATCCTGCATACCAGGTAGATACTTGTAAATAAATCAGAGTCTCCGTGAAATTATTTTTGTCTTGAACTAAAACTAAGTTCCGTTAACTAGTCTTCGAATTAAAATAGAGTATTTGTGATATCGATTTAATAAATAAGATCTAAAGAATTTCTTCGACTGATCAAAATGTGCTTTCAATGTTCCACTTTTCTAAAATCTACTTTAAAATCTACTGACTCCTCGACTATGGATTTCGGGTTAATTTTGCGCGAACTCCCATGGTGAATTTTAGAAACGTGTTTAAAGGGAAATCTGTAAAGATAGGATTTCCTGAAATACATTGCAGATCTTCGCCACCTGCGCCACATTCTACGTACCCTTGCTGGTCATTCTATTCCTGTACTGGAGGATATTTCAGGCGGCGCGAAAGCGAATCAGGAAGAGGCCGGGGACTATCGTGCAACCACCTCGCGAAAGGAGAGGCATTCTTAGACTCGTCACAAGAAGGTTTCGCTCCTCTGCAAGTCTAAATGTAGATCGCAGTGGTAGGCGACTCATGTTCATAGAGCCGAGAACAACGTAATGTGTTTGTGAGCATGAGCTCTTGGCCTATGAGCCTATCCTCATATATTCACTTCGGCTTATACACGTTCAAAGCTTAAAAGCGCGCATCCACCCGTGTCTCATACCCTTGTATCGTTTCACTCTTGCGTATCATTATGAACCGACAAGCGTAGCATCATCGTAATGAATCATATTAAAAATCACATAAGAAATTAATACAGTAAATCATGAACTATCTCGATAAAACTGCAATTTAAATAAATGATATTTTTTTATTAATTCCTCTGTATTTTTTATGATACGTTATAAAATATGCACGACGCGTGTGCAATAATGACGAGCAAGTATGATTAGCAATAAGGATACGCAACGATGATGCGATACGAGGATATGATAGAAGTGGATACGCAGCTCAACACTCGCTCTTCCATATTTAATTATGGAATTCGTTTCTCTGGTTTGAGTATTCTCGCTGTCTTTCTGACACTCTGTTTACATTTTCTTGTCCTCGTGACTCTCATCATTGTTCATGAACAGTAATATGGCTTGCGCGTGCTTCCGACTTGGCTCATGAGCAACTGAGGTGCCCACTACTGAAGTAGACACACGATTACGAGACTCGTTAGCGCCGTGCTTTAAATTAACCTTCTCCATTCACAGTGTCCGTTTGATGCATGCCTGCGCACCCCAGACTAATTACGTTACTAAATTATTCAGTACTTGTACTTCACGAGTCTTCCGACCGGAGTTCATTTCTGTTTTCCAATGTAAACTTTTCTATGCGATTCTAATAACTTGTTTCAAAATAAATACTTTTCATCAAAGTAAAATCTAACTAAATTGATAAGTTTTTAATAATAGAAAATTGTTTTGCGAAAAATAAATTCTTTGGTCTTGTCTTACAAAATTTTTACCAATTTTTCAGACCGAGAGAGGAGTCGACAGCGTTCACCATAACGAGATCCACGCCGGATCATTCATCAATATCGCCGGAGAAGTCGTCGTCGTATAACGGGGCGAATGCGACGCAATCGACCACCGTCACGCCGACGGCGGTGTCGACGACGACGACGACTACCACGACCACCATTACGAACCCTTCCAGCAGCCACTCGACCTCGTCCAGTAAGAGGACACGCGAGACGATCGAGTCGAAGCGCGAGAAAAAGGCAGCGAAAACGCTCGCAATAATAACCGGCGCGTTTGTCGCTTGTTGGTTGCCTTTCTTTCTGGTAGCGTTACTTCGTGCTACGTGCGAAGTCTGCGAGCCACCGGAATTGATAGCAAACATCTTCCTGTGGCTGGGCTACTTCAACAGCACCCTGAACCCTGTGATATACACTGTATTCTCACCAGAGTTCAGGCAAGCCTTCAAGAGGATGCTTTGCGGTGGTTCTAGGATAATTCGCTGACAGTGGATTTAAGTTTAATCATTCTATGAGTAATCACGTGCGACAAATAGAAAAAGTGTTGTGCTTGAGAGAAAGTGTGTTCGTGGACAAACGCATCATGTGTACATAAAACGATTATTGTTAACTACTTCCTCTCCTTTGAATATCGATCAACTATCGTATCACGTAATTAGGCCTTAGAGAGTACGTAGAATGTTTCCCTCGTAAAATTCCACGATCGTCTAGAAAATCTAGACCCTGATCATGAATAAAAAATCGCGTATAACTGGCGCGTTCATCTATTATGTTCAATAGAGAACGGACTTTGAAAAATATCGAATAAACGCGCTCGGCGAATCTGACGGCAGTAACGCATGTTGCAATTGCTGAATAGAATATGGTCTGCATACCGCCATCAATTCTCGTTGGACAGTTGCAACACATGCCAGTAATTAATCTGTCAGAATCACTAACACCACTTGTAGACAAGATCGATTCGGTGACAGTTACCATTCGAAGCTCAATTCTAACACAATATCTTACCCGAGAAGAATTATCGCAATTCTGCGAATACGATCTAGTTCTTAATACTTTGCTAGTTGAACACAGAGAAAACAAGGGTGAGATGGTCGAAGTGAAGAAACGAGAGATCGATTGAAATGGTGGATTATCGGTGACCCAGTTAACGCTTCTCTGATTGTCCGATTATTTTGAGATATTGATCGAAGGAAAAACTAATTTATATCTTCTTTATACTTTTACGTGATGAAACACACGAATCTTGTATTGTATCATTTTGTAGTATTCGCTAGATAAATGAAAAGCCAATTGTTTTATGATTGGTATTTTAAATACGCATAGGCCACAACCGTAAGATTCACTTCATTCCTTGGAAAGAACAGTAGCTCCTAATTTAGAATAGTCAAAGCAAGACAGTACAAAAGATGTTTTATTAAACTGGTTTATGAATCAAATTAACAGTAGCTTCTCTGGTTAAGGCTCGAGTACTTGCTCCAGATAATATCAAACACTTGAGCACTGTTGTACATCGTTCTATTGTACATAATGATATTTCTATCGTAACTATACTCTTCACAAAATGCGGTGAATCGAACACCGATGACGTAAGTAATAAAAAAAGTGGCCAAGTTGATCCAAGCTAATTTGCATCGTTGTTCTAGTAATAGGACGAGACTCTTCCCCCGCTTCCGTGTCGCGCACGATTGCTCACGAATACGATTTGCCGTAAGACACCTCGGAAGCAGGGCTTCGATGAAACTGTTGGAACTTTCAATTACTTATAAAATAACTAACTTTATAAATATCATCTTTTCGCTTCCGAGGGAACTTTTATAAAATGCAGTGTATTAAGCGAAACTTTTATAAAATCCAATGTATTAAGTGAAATTTTTATCCTATACGCTTTTACGTAGATAAGAAACTTTCATTTTCTCCAGAGTAGAATAAAGTTTTAGTTGAACAAGACATTTATTCCGTTCAGAAAAAAGTTCAAGTTGTGATAAGCAGATTTTCTGGAGTGCAAGTTTCAAGTTGATATCAAATTTGATAATTATAAAAATCATAATGTAACAAATCTATTCTTTTCTTTACGTGTATAAACGAGAAGTGGACGTTTTGGTTGTATCAATTTTGTAAATATTAGTATATTTTATTTCCAAGTAGACATGTAATAAAATAAGCGACGCGTTCGTACGTTATCAGATGATTGTCATTCACAATCGCCCAAAATACCGCCTTATTATGTACGAATAATCTATCTAGCGGCGCAAGTTGAGCGAATTATTATTGTTTCTTGTACACCAAAAATCGACATTAGACAAAGGAAAGTGAAGATCAAAATAAAAGAAGCTGAAAAAATCGTAAATATAAGTGACCTGTAGCACAACGTTACAATTGTCCAACGTCTTAACTAGATTGTGCCCCTCGTCGAGGATGCAATGTATTAAATAAAGGGAAACGAATTTGTTATAGTGAAGAACAAGAAAATCGTTGCGCTGTTTGAACATGGAAGGAAGGTGAATGCAATATGCGTTTCAAAAAGATACGAGACGAAAAACTAGAAACCAATACGTTTACAACGATGCTTCATACAGTGTATTATTTCTTTGGAATCACTGATGTAAATAAATGCAAGTTTCAAAACGGTTGACCGAATTGTTTGTTATATCACTCCTGATATTCCATTCTTGAAGGCTATTGGCGGGGCGTGAGGATTACAAACGATATCTCGTCTATGATTCTCATAAGGTTGCCACTTTTTCATCATACACTTTCTAATCTAAAATAAATAGTGATGAAACCATAAAATTAGTATTAAAAATGTTTATTGCACAATATACAATTTATGTATTATAATTACATTACAGTTAAAACCCGAAATCAAATCATACTTGCTATACCTATATAGTAAAAACTACAGTTTTAATAGATTTCAGCTTCTGACTGTAACGCACATATTACATTTTTTCGACTTCTTTGAAACTTCCGTATCGTATGAAAATCGTAGAATTAATATTTTGTTGTTATCGGAGTCAATAGGAAGTATAACGAACGTCTTTGTTTTTCCTTGTATCAAAATGCACCATCTTCTTATTCATTTATAACAATACACCAAGGCTAAAAATAAGCGTAACATTTTCATTTATTTTCTTTCCAATATACTTTTAACAATTTGTATATCAAATCACTCGGGCCTCCAAATGCATCAATTCATGACGAAATGACTCAAACAATAAAAATTGACTTCATATTTTATTCACTATTATCATGAAGAAACTTTTTAAGGCTTCTTTAAAAAATGTCTAGTAATAATATAATTATAATATTAATAATAAAATAATAATAATATAA